TATATATATATCCTTCGAAAAAAGAGTAGGGGTTTAACACCGGCATCCTGACCAAATCTGCCCACTAGCCTCTGTTGATCAGGGCCTCCTAACCATCCCCATATCATAATTAGCTTCATCACTGTCTCCTCTCCACCAATCAGCTGGGTTGTGGTGTGCTGTCTGGCACAATATGGCTGTTACACAATGATGGTGGATAAGAGAGTCCCCCCAAGAATGTGTAAAGCACTTTAAGTGTCTTGAAAAGCGATATAAGTGTAAGAAATTATTCTTATTAAATTGCCCCTGTCGTTTCATATTCAAAGGAACGAGAAAAAGTAGCAGAAACCAAACTGTATGTGGTCAATTTGACCATCATAGTCCTTCAAAGTAGAAATACTCAAAACTCTTATGCTGTCATTTAAATAAAATAGCATTGTTAGATGACCTGAGGGGAAGTAAATAAACAGCAAATGATCATTTTTGGTGGTGAATATCTCTTTAAATGTTAAAATGAGATGTTTAAAAATGAGCCTTTACATTACAGCATGCAAAGAAACGAACAAAAATCTGCCTCTGTGATCTTAAAAAAGAAAAAGAGAAAAAGAACATAACAGTAGTGTTTTACTGCTTATTTCAGCTGGAAACTGCTGTGAAATGTATGAGTGGGAATGTTTTTGGAGTTTGGAAAAATGTAGGTGGAAGCATGTTTTCCTTTCAGCTTGGGCTGCTAATATATATATGTGCTTTCAACACAGAGGCTGTTCCAAACAGTAGACTGTAAAATCAGGCCAGAAACATGAACTGCTCCAGTATTTGAATGCAAACGTTACATTCACGAGCCAAAGTGTGTGTGTGTGTGTCACTGCGAACCATCAGATGAGGCAGAGCATCAGTGTGAGGAGAATCTCAAGTGTTTTAATTATGAATTATGAACACAGTTTTAGCTAGCAACCTCAATAATAACAGAGCGGGAAAACAACTATATTGCCTGTTTGAGTTGTAGCTGAGGTTTATTATAGCCACATAAATACAAGAACACACATTATCTATAGACAAACATTCACTTTTGCATTTAAGCGTTTGCTTGTGTTAGCTGGTAAGGTCATGACGTTTGGGTCATATTAACCCCAAATTAAGACTGACTGTTGATTTTTGTGGCGTGGATGGAAACTAGTGGAGTGAATTTGACCTCTAATCATATTGTAATCAACACAGGCTTTTAAAACACAACTATACTTTTTGTTGTAGCAACAATTTTTACTCAGAAATGTCCCAGATGAATACAGTCCACAAGTAACACATTACATTTTTTAAGTAGGATATTGAATAGTATTTTCTTCATGATACATTCCATAAGATATAGCAATAAATATGTCTATATAGTTGTACTACTATTAATTCAGCTTAAGAAATTTAGGATAAATTAAACACACACACACACACACACACATATATACACACACATATATGGCTGTAAATCGGCACTGGTGGGAGGCGTGCATTGGTGCCCCCTTAGTGCCCCCACCAGTGCCGATATACAGCCATATTTCACTGCTGCGAGTGTGATATTGCGTTTATACAACAGTTTGACGGCATAATTGTGTATATAAAAACAAAATCAAACACAGAGAGTCTCAAAAACCCTTTTGTTTGTGGAACTACTTTCTTCCATATTGGATTCAAACCATAAGCTGACAGTTAAACAGTTGAGCAAGCATCTTTTAAACTTTAGATCTGTCGTGTCTGCTTTTTGCTGGCTGTATGTGGGCGGAGTAATACACAAAGGGTAAAGAGGCTGTAGGAGTTCCGATATTGCAGAATATTGCACAGCTATCAGCCAATCAGATCTGAGAACCAGACAGAACTGTTGTGTGTGTGTATATATATATATATATATATATATATATATATATATATATATATATATATATATATAAAATTATAAAACTGGTGCAAGTGTCTGTAAGGTGTCATAGAGATAAAAGAGTCTTCTACAGGTGGTCTGAGTTACACTCAGAATGGCACAATGAAAAACAATATACCTAAAAAATCCCCAAATTACTACATATATTCATTTGAAGCTGTTTCATTGTAAATAAACAGTTTTTATATTTATTTCATAGTGTTTTTGTGCCTAAACAAACCGAAAGCACAGAACAGATTCACATTTAAGAGCAAGGGGCGAACCCTGACAGTGGCGGTTCTAGGGGGGGGCCATCGGCCGGTGCCCCCGTGTCAACAAGCTTGGCCCCCCCTCTGGCCCCCCTAAATTTGGACGCGTATTTTTGTGTCAAAACGCCATGAAGAAGCGAGATCAGCCATCGGTGGCGCGCGCTCTCAGTGGCGCTCGCAGTTGTATGGCGCGCACTCGCTCTCTGCTTTTGCGCGCTTTCTCTCGCTCTCTCTGTCAGTGTGTGTGACGGTGCTGCGCACTTCAGTTCCCCGCATTCGTCAGAAGTTAACCCCCAAGTTGACACAGGTAATAAAAATACTCAACTTCAGTCATGTTCATGTTGTGAAACACTATCAAAATGTCCACTGTTGATAATATTAGACTTCTGTTTTCAATAGCGATTTCAAAACTTTTAATAGAGGAAGTCCTCAGCTATGCAGAGGTATTAATAATCAGAGATTGAGTGTACATAGTTTTACCTTCGGAAATGCAGTCTTGAACTTACAAACGGTCGGCAAGTACCAGATAACAGATGAAACACATTGTTCCAGTTTAGTTTTCAGTCACGCTCATGTAAAAGTAATATTCAACTCATTTAGTTTTGCCTTCATTCGTTTTTGATTTCAGTCGTGACATAAAGCACGAGTCATTAAGACATGATTTATTACAACACGTTTTTAAACATAATTTAACTAACAAATTTCTAATAACTACTTTTTTAATCTTTCCCATAGTGACAGTCAGTTCATAACATTTTACTAGTTATTTAGCAAGATAGTTGTATTCAGACAAAGTCCCTTTAAGTACTCTATAGTCTTTGATTCAGATTAAAGTGTAATTTAAAGATTAATTAGGTTATGTTAACTAGGAAAGTTGGAATAATTAGTCAAGTTATTGTATAGCTGGTTTGTTGTGTAGACAATCAATAAAATATACAGTAAATATTTCTTAAGGAAGCTAATAACACTGACTTCAAATGTTTTTTTTTTATATATTAAAACTGATTTTATTCAAGAAATAAACTATAAGAAATAAGATTTATTATGACTCCAGAAGAATTATTTGTGTTTTATAAGAAGTACTGTGAAAATCACCTTGGTTTAGTTTAGATCACTTGGGAAACACAATTTTAGATTAATGGGATCTGCAATCCCATTAATTAATAACTGCATCTGTTAAAGTTTACAGGTGTAAAAATGTGCCTTGATGTAGCTACTTGAATGTTAGAAATGTGTTATCTTACAATACAAAGTTACTTGTCAAATAAATGAACATGGAAGATTATTTCGAGTTTAAGTTATTTAATTAGCTTATTTATGAAGACAGGGCAGCACAGTGGCGCAGTGGGTAGCACAATCGCCTTACACCAAGAAGTTCTCTGGTTCAAGCCCTGGCTGGGTCCGTTGGTATTTCTGTGTAGAGTTTGCATGTTCTCCCCGTCTTGGCGGGGGTTTCCTTGGGGTGCTCCAGTTTACCCCACAGTCCAAAACCATGTGGTATAGGTAAATTAGTTAAGCTAAATTGTCCGTGGTGTATGAGTGTATGGGTGTTTTTAAGTGATGGGTTGCAGCTGGAGGGGCATTCGCTGCGTAAAACATATGCTGGATAAATTAGTGGTTCATTCCGCTGTGGTGACCCCACATTAATAAAAGGACTAAGCCGAAAAGAAAATTAATGAATGAATGTTTATGAAGACTGCAGAGTGATGCATAAAAAATGACTTCGAATAATTGTTTAAATAGTTTGTGATGTATGTTAAAATGTGCCTCCTAAAAGTACAAGTGGCCCCTGCCCGGCCCCCCCAGTTACTCTAGTCTAGAACCGCCACTGAACCCTGGTGGTTAGGCGGTATGGGTTGCGCATAGGGAAGCTTTAATGTTACTTGCCACCCTTCAGAGAAAGTCCGCGAGAAATATGGGAAAATACCTTTACGGGATGATAGTGGGATAGAACTGTAAAATACGGGAGAATCCCGGTAAAAACGGGAGGGTTGACAGGTATGGTCCTGGGTCACATATAAAAAAACAGAGAAAAATCGCAGGTTCATTTTCATCTATTACTTTGAAAATTTAGCACACTTTTAGCCCCACTGGACATTTCAGTTTGAAAGTGTCACTAAACACGCAGAAAGTAATGAAATATTGTTCCAAAATGTGGCACATATGGGTTGCATATTTCATTCTGCATTGATACCATAGTCAAATCATCACATGAATGAATGAGATTGTTTAGTGGGCTCATAAAATGCTCGGGGCAGCAGACGGAGATCCTCTCTTTGATTTTAGAAGACAGTGTGAGGTCTTCAGTGATGCTGCATGTTAAAGTGAAATGTTCCCCGGGGGCAGCGGGACATTAAATCACTCCAGATGGGACGTGCTCTCAGGGATCTCTTCTGATCTCCCACTGGGACAGAGCTTCCTTTCCTTATCTCAATTACTTCGCAGGTCTGAGCTCTCTTTATAAATGATAATGTCCGTGACCACTTCAATGCACCAACACTCAATGATTACAGCCAGCCTTGGGCATTTAGTAAATGAAGAAAATGGGATTTGAATGCAGCACAGTGGCTCAGTGGTTAGCACTGTGGCCTCACAGCAAGAAGATCTCTGGTTCTAGTCTCTGCTGGGCCATTTGGCATTTCTGTGTGGAGTTTGCATGTTCTTCCCGTGTTCATGTTGGTTTCCTCCGGGTGCTCTGCTTTCCCCAACAGTCCAAACACATGGGCTAGAGGTGTGTATCGCTGTAAAACTTAATAAGTTAGCATAATTTCCTTCATGATGTGCCAACATAGATCCATTCTGTGAAAGCCAGCATTATTTACCGTGTGTTTTGTGTTTGTGTGCAGGTGTCAGACGCTCGAGGGAACTGTACATGGCACAGAAACCCCAAACCCTGCACAATCCCGCAGGACAAAGAGAGCATCTTCCACACCATCTTCGCCTTCTTCACCAAATCTGGCAGAAAAGTTCTGGTATGGCATGAAGTTATTGAGCGTAGATAAGAGAAAACAGCACACTTGGCATCACATTTTCATTTAGCAGCCGGAAGTAAGACCTGCTTGAATATTTAATGTTCTTTTTGTCAGTGCATACAAAGGTGGTCAGAATTATTAGATTTTTTTCTTATTTATTTTTTTTTATATTCCCCAAACCCCAAACCATGTTTAACAGAGCAAGGAAATTTTCACAGAATGTCTGATAATATATTTTCTTCTGGAGAAAGTCTTATTTGTTTTATTTCGGCTAGAATAAAAGCAGTTTTGAATTTTTTTAACACCATTTTAGGGTCAATAATATTAGCCCCCTTAAGCAATATTTGTTTTCGATAGTCTACAGAACAAACCACTGTTATACAATGACTTGCCTAATTACCCTAACCTGCCTAATTAACCTAGTTAAGCCTTTAAATGTCACTTTAGGCTGTATAGAAGTGACTTGAAAAATATCTAGTCAAATATTATTTGCTGTCATCATGGCAAAGAGAAAATAGATCAGTTTTTATAGATGATTTATTAAACTATTATGTTTAGAAATGTGTTGAAAGAATCTTCTCTCTGTTAAACAGAAATTAGGGAAAAAATAAACAAGAGAGCTAATAATTCTGACTTTAACTGTACTTATTGCTGTGTTTTTGTACTGAAAGTCAATATGTGATGGTGTTTTGTGTCTACAGGACTGCGATCGGCCCGGTCGAGCATGTTTGACTATTTCCTGCAGTCTCGGCTCTCAGGCTAAAGAAGAAGCCACAAGTATAGATGTGCAAATGCTACTGAACACTGAAATACTGCAGAGGGTGAGTAATACATGTAATATAAGTCATATATATAATTATAATTTACCAAGGCCGCATCCAGTTGTTCAAAGAGATCATAAATACAATAAATGTATATTTGAGATTTTTAATTAAAAAAAAATGTTGTTATTTTAAACCTTCTATAAACAGATGATCGTGAAGGGGAAAAAAATAGGCTTTGCATTAGAGGTATAAATTGCATTTTAAAACATTTTCAAAGAGCCATTTATTTTTTTCAGCATTCAGATTTTTTAAATATTAATTAAAATGTGATAATTTAACTGTTTTTGATATAAATAAATGACAATTTTACACATAATCTTTTAAAATAAATACAGCATCAATTATTATTATTTAGATGTTTTTTAAAAAAAATCTTAGCTATCACACAATTTTGGACAACATAAATTACATATATTGTTTGAAATACATGTTTAATAAAACCAAAAATCTATGTAAAACTAAAGTACAGTGCAGCCGGAAAGTATTCGTAGCGCTTCACTTTTTCCCACATTTGTTTGTTACAGTCTTATTCCATTATGGATTAAATTCATTTAATTCGTCAACATTCGACACACAATCCCCCATAATGACAATGTGAAAAAAGAGTTTTTGAAATTTTTTCAAACTTATTAAAAATTAAAAAGCTGAAAAATCACATGTATTGACAGCCTTTGGCGTAAAGCTCTAAATTGAGCTCAGGAACATTTTGTTTCACTGATCATTCTTGAGATGTTTCAGCAGCTTCATTAGAGTTCCCCTGTGGTAAATTCAGTTGATTTGACATGATTTGAAAAGGTATACACCTGTCTATAAGGTCCCAGAGTTGACCGTGCATGTCAAAGCACAAACCAAGCATGAAGACAAAGGAATTGTCTGTAGACCTCAGAGACAGGACTGTTTCAAGGCACAAGGCTGGGGAAGGTTACAGAAAAGTTTCTGCTGCTCTGAAAGTTCCAATGAGCACAGCGGCCTCCATCATCCATAAGCGGAAGATGTTTGGAACCACCAGGACTCTTCCTAGAGCTGGCCGGCCATCTAAGCTGAGTGATCAGGGGAGAAGTGCGTTAGTCAGGGAGGTGATCAATAACACGATGGTCACTCTGTCTGAGCTCCAGCGTTCTTCTGTGGAGAGAGGAGAACCTTACAGAAGGACAACCATCTGGCCAGACGGAAGCCACTCCCCACCTGGAATTTGCCAAAAGGCATCTGAAGGACTCTCAGACCATAAAAAACGAAATTCTCTGGTTTGATGAGACTAAAATTGAACTATTTGGTGTGAATGACAGGTGTTACGTTTGGAGAAAACCAGGCACCGCTCATCACCATCCCTACAGTGAAGCATGGTGGTGGCAGCATCATGCTGTGGGGATGTTTTTTAACAGCAGGAACTGGAAGTAGTCAGGATAGAGGGAAAGATGAATGCAGCAATGTACAGAGTCATCCTAAATGAAGACCTGCTTCAGAGTGCTCTTGACCTCAGACTGGGGTGACAGTTCATCTTCCAGCAGGACAATGATCCAAAGCACACCGCCAAAATGGAGTAGCTTCACAACAACTCGGTGAATGTCCTTGAGTGGCCCAGCCAGAGCCCAGACCTAAATCCTATTGAACATCTCTGGAGAGATCTGAAAATGCCTGTACACCGACGCTTCCCATCCAACCTGATAGAGCTTGAGAGATACTGCAAAGAGTAATGGGCAAAAATTCCCAAAGACAGGTGTGCCAAGCTTGTGGCATCATATTCAAAAAGACTTGAGGCAGTAATTGCTGACAACAAAGTATTGAGCAAAGGCTGTGAATACTGATGTACATGTGACTTTTCAGGTATTTTATTTTTAATACATTTGTAACGATTTCAAGATCTTTTTTCACATTGTCATTAAAGGGTATTGTGTGGAGTAATTTGTGGAAATAAATGAATTTAATCCATTTTGGAATAAGGCTGTAACATAAAAAACTGGAAAAAGTGAAGCGCTATGATTACTTTCCAGATGCACTGTATGTAGCTACATATAAATAGTAAAAAGAGCTCTGATTTGCCATATTTTTAACATACTTTGATGTTAAAAAATATATATTTTGGTACATAAAAATGGTAAAAAGTGCACTTGAAATGCATTTTTACTAACTGTATGCTTGTTTTTATATAAACATGTCTGTTTATGTGTGTGTGTGTGTTTGTGTTTTTACAGGACAGCTCCTCTGTGATCCAGTTTGTGACTCGAGGTCACGTCCAGCTGGACGACAGGACCGTGGAGGTCTCAAGCGGACTTCCAGATGATATTTCTGTAAGTTGAGGCATATTTGTACCAACGGCACTTCAGGAACTTGATAAGCCGGTTGTGTTTATTATAATTCAATTCAATTGTAAGACTGAAATTGATATTCATTTCTTTTAAAAAAGAGAATTCTTAAGACTTCCCTTTGATTCTGAGGCTCCCAGTAGCTGTTGACAGGTAGAAAACATTAATGATGATGATCAGTTACTAATCACAGATTGCATGACACAACTCGTCATCAGTAATATGTTAAATCACACATCCATGGTGTCATAATCCGGTGGCTCAGTGGTTAGCACTGTCGCCTCACAGCAAGAAGGTCGCTGGTTCGAGTCCCGGATGGGCCAGTGGAGTTTGCATGTTCTCCCCATGTTGGTGTGGGCTTCCCCCACAGTCCAAACGCATGCGCTAGGTAAATTGGATGAACTGAATTGCCCATAGTGTATGAGCACGTATGTGAATGTGAGTGCGTATGGGTGTTTCCCAGTACTGGGTTGCAGCTGGAAGGGCATCCGCTGTGTAAAAAACTTGCTGGAATAGTTGGTGGTTCATTCTGCTGTGGTGACCCCTGGTAAATAAGGGACTATTGAAGGAAAATTAATGAATGAGTGTATTAAAATGTAATTTACTCTAATTATAAGTAATTTATTTTTTTAATCGGAAATTACATAATCCAAAATTACACACAATCTATACCTACTAAACTCAGGCTGTTGATCTGCTTCCAGTTTGTCGCTCATTTGCAGGCGCGAGTCTGTTTTTACTCCACAGCTGTGCTCTGACACAGTCATCTCTAATACTGCAGGCCTCCATGTGTGGATTGATTGGAGGAATATGGGACTCTCAGCTGATTGAGTTTCTGACCCACTTTATCCAGTGGCCAATTCCCTAAACATGCTCCTTAAATGAGTCTGTGGCCCCCTTCTGCCCTCAGCACTTAAGAAATGCTTGGGTCCCAGAGCTAATCTGTGATGATGTGCACGGGACTGTCCTGTGGGCAAACTCACATTTACAGATGCCATTGCTCATGCACTGTACAGGCATTAATAGCGCACGTTTCTGTCGTGTTCGCGGACATCTAAACAAATTGAAAACGACAGATTGGGATTTAACTTTATAGAATTATTAGCCCTCCTGAGTTATTAGCCCTCCTGAATTATTAGCCCTCCTGTATATTTTTCCCCAATTTTTGTTTAACAGGGAAATCATTTACAACACATTTCTAAACAGAATAGTTTTGATAACTCATCTCTATAGGTTGCGGCTGGAAGGGCATCCGGTGCGTAAAAATGTGCTGGATAAGTTGGCGGTTCATTCCGCTGTGGCGACCCCGGATTAATAAAGAGACTAAACCGACAAGAAAATGAATGAATGAATGAACTCATCTCTAATAACTGATTTCTTTAATCTTTGCCATGATGACAGTAAATAATATTTGACTAGATATTTTTCAAGACACTTCTATACAGCTTAAGTTAATTAGGTAAGTTAGGGTAATTAGGCAAGTCATTGTATTATTGTGGGCGAGGCAGTGGTGCAGTAGGTAGTGCTGTCGACTCACAGCAAGGAGGTCGCTGGTTCGAACCTCGGCTCAGTTGGTGTTTCTGTGTGGAGTTTGCATGTTCTCCCTGCCTTCGCGTGGGTTTCCTCTGGGTGCTCTGGTTTCCCTCACAGTTCAAAGACATGCAGTACAGGTGAATTGAGTAGGCTAAATTGTCTGTAGTGTATGAGTGTGTGTGTGAGTGTGGATGTTTCCCAGAGTTGGGTTGCGGCTGGAAGGGCATCCGCTGCGTAAAAACTTGCTGGATAAGTTGGCGTTTCATTCTGCTGTGGCGACCCTGGATTAATAAAGGGACTAAACCGACAAGAAAATGAATGAATGAATTGTAATATTGTATTAGGTTTGTTCTGTAGACTATTGTAAACAAATATTGCTCAAGGGGGCTAATAATATTGACCTCAAAATGTTTTTTAAAAAAGTGTTTATTTTTTTCTAGCTGAATTAAAACAAATAAGACTTTCTCCAGAAGAAAATATATTATAGGAAATACTGTGAAAAACATTGCATGGAGGTCAGGGACAGTACCTCTGGACTGGGTAACTGGGGTGCTGGTTCCTAATTTGAAGAAAGGGGACCAGAGGGTGTGCTCCAACTATAGGGGGATCACAATCCTCAGTCTCCCTGGGAAAGTCTATGCCAGTGTACTGGAGAGGAGGATCCGGCTAATGGTTGAACCTAGGATCCAGGAGGAACATGGCGGTTTTCGTCTAGGCTATGGTACACTGGACCAGCTCTATACCCTCAAGGGTTTATGGAAGTATGCCCAACCAATCCATATGTGTTTTGTGGGCTTGGAGAAAGCATGCAACCGTGTCCCTCGTGGTATGCTGTGGAGGGTGCTATGGGGTCAGAGGCGCTCTGTTAAGGGCCGTCTCATCCCTGTATGAACAGAGTAGGAGTTTGGTTTGCATTGCTGGCAAGAAGTCAGACTTGTTTTTTTTTATGGACATTTTTATGGACAGAATTTCAAAGTGCAGCCTTGGGCTGGAGAGGGTCCGGTTCGGGGACCACAGGATCTCATCTCTGTTATTCACAGATGATGTTGTTCTGTTGGCTTCATCAAACATGGACCTTCAGCATGCACTGGGGCGGTTTGCTGCCGAGTGTGACACAGCTGGGATGAAAATCAGCACCTCCAAGTCCGGGGCCATGGTGCTCCAATGAAAAAAGGTGGTTTGCCATCTCCAGGTTGGGGGAAAGTCCTTACCCCAGGTGGAGGAGTTTTAGTATCTTGGGGTTTTCTTCACGATTGAGGGAAGGATGGAATGTGAGATTGACAGGTGGATTGGTGCAGTGGCAGCTGTAATACGGTTGATGTACTGGTCCGTTGTGGTAAAGAACATGAGCCGAAAGGCAAAGCTCTCGATACACTGGTGAATCTACAATCCTACTCTCACCTATGGTCATGAGCTTTGGGTCATGACCGAAAGAACAAGATTACGGTTACAAGCAACCAAAATGAGTTTTCTTCGTAGGGTGGCAGGACACACTCTTATGGATAGGGTGAGGAGCTCTGACACCCAGGAGGAGCTTGGAGTAGAGTCGCTGCTCCTCCACATTGAGAGAAGTCAGCTAAGGTGGCTCAGGCATCTGTTTTGGATGCCTCCTGGATGCCTACCTAGGGAGGTGTTCCAGGCATGTGCCACCGGGAAGAGGCCTCAGGGAAGACCCAAAATAGCTGGAGCGACTATGTCTCTCAGCTGGCCTGGTAATGCCTTGGGATCCCATCCCCCGGAAGAGCTAGAGGAAGAGGGAAGTCTGGGGTTCTCTCCCAAGACTGCTGCCCCCGCGACCTGGCCCCGGAAAAGCGGTTGAAAATTAATGAATAAATGAATTCAATTCAATTCAATTCAGCTTTATTTGTTTAGTGCTTTTACAATGTAGATTGTGTCACAGCAGCTTCACATAAATGGTCATAGTAACTGGATCAGTGTAGTTCAGTTTTTAGTGTTTAAGTTCAGTTCAGTTTAGCTCAGTTCAGTGTGGTTTATAATCATTATTGAGAGTTCAAACACTGAAGAGCAAATTAATGGATGCGCAGCTCTACCAATCCCAAACGATGCAAGCCAGTGGCGACAGTGGAGAGGGGAAAAAAACTTCACCAATAGGAGAGTGAAGAAAAAAACCCTTGAGAGAACCAGTCTCAGTTCGGCACGACCATTTTAATTTCTCCGCTGGCCAAAAGTCTTGTGCAGAGCTGCTGTCTCAGCAGTGGAGGCTGGAAGCTGGCCTCAGCGAAGACTCTAAATAAATGAATAAATACTGTGAAAAATTTCTTGCTCTGTTACATATAATTTGGTCAATATTTGAAAAAGGAAGCACAATTTACAAGAAGCCTAATAATTATGATTTCAGCTGTATGTAATGTCCCCACAATTCACAAAAGCAAACGTGTGTTTGTGTGTGCAGCTGGTGATGGAGGCTCTGCACAGTCAGGAGCCGCGGGGTTATGTGGTGGGCTGGATCATCGCCATCAGTCTGCTGGTGGGAATCCTCATCTTTCTGCTGCTGGCGGTGCTGCTCTGGAAGGTACAGTACAGCTTCACCTGCTCTTCTTCCTCCATCAGTACAGCTTCACCTGCTTCTCTTCCTTATTCTGCTGGAGACATTTCAGGAGCTGCTACTGTTAGATTTAGGGTTAGCAGAAGCACAGCAAACACTGAAACCACCCCAGTTTTGGGGAAATATTCATGTACTAAAAACTGCACACTCACAAGAAAAGAAGCTGACTAAATGATCCACTTGAAGTCAAATTATTATTTGTTGTTCCTAAAACTTGGATAGGCGACAAGACAAATTATTATTTTAGATAAAAATTCAAATTTTAATTGATGAATAAGATAAATACAACACATTACTTGAAATAAAATTAAAGGCTGTGAGTAGAGGGATATAATTCTTCATTATCAGGGCTTTACATTAACGTTTTTGATCACCAGCCACTGTGGCTAGTAGATTTCCAACATTACTAGCCACTCACCATTATTACTAGCCACACTTTTTTTGTTGGGAAATCTATTTTTTATATGCATAAATTTGACTTTGACATGCTAAGATGACTTGATTTAGATGTTGTGTTATGTCCACTACATGCCTTCTCATTTATTTAACTTCTTGTGTGTATTGTGTATTGGCTCGCTCAGTGCGCATGAGCAAATGTAATCAGAGAGCGTCAAAGTAGCCAGAAGTCATTCATTTTTTAACGAGAACTGGCGGCGAGAATGTAATCAGTTTTTATTTCATGACTTTCCAGTGCTCAAAATTAAGGATTTACCAAATTTATGTCTGACCACACCAAATAAGTATTTCTTAGCCACAATTTTAAAGTGTCAAAACAAGGAAAATAGAGCTGTATAGGTGCACTCTTTCATTCAACAAAACTTTTCTTTAAAAAAAAACATTCAATTTAACAAAAGAAGTATTGTCATGTATCTAAAATATGCACAGTAATCTGTCCTGGCTAAAAGTCCCAGATCAGCAGTTACTACACACGGGGAGTAATCTCCCATTAAAGCAATGTTATTCTAACTTGGCCTAAACATCAACAACTCTCCTTTATGTTTGGCATGGTGTTGGCCAAGAGAGTGATTCTGATGGAGTGGAAATCCACAACACCTCCAAATTTTTTTAAATGGTTAGCTGAAATGGTTTCTGCCCTCAAGTTGGAAAGGATACGCTTCTCTAGATTTGGCAAACAAAAGTTGTATGACAAAACATGGGGCCCCTTCCTCAGAGGTATAGGTTATTAATGTTTCTGTAATATTTTTTTTTTCTGGTAATATTTTTTTTCTTCTCTCCACTTCCTTTTTACATGTTATTCTATTCTGTCTCTTATTCCATCAGTCTGGCTAAAATTTCTTTATTGTTTTGTGATGGTGCTGTAAAATTGCTGTTATGTTTGCTTGTGTTTTGGTGCATGTTCTAGTTAGTATAAGGTAATAACACTGAGACAAGTTTGTCAACATATATATATGATGTACATTATTTGGTGTTATGTTCTTACAAAAACTTCTATAAATAAAGTATAAAAAAAAAAAGCAATGTTATTATTGTAAACAAATATAATTAAACCATATTAACAAAAATAACTAAGCAAATGAAAGCAGGTGAAACATACAGTGTGTGATAATGAAAGGATGATCACATGCACACGGCTAATATAGGCCTGTTAATCTGTTCAAAGAATAATTAAAATGAAAGCAGTGACTGCTGCTGCTTACAAAAGTATATGTGCTTTTTTTTTTAATCTTGAGCTCTCGAAAGCAGCAGGACTGTGGGTGCATGATCATCGCTCTTTGTCCAGTTTATTTCAAAGGGAACCGATCGCACCATACCTTTAGGCATGGGATTCGCGTAAGCAGTGGCGTAGCGGACGGGCCCGCAGGTCACGCACCGCGGGTGGTGGGGGGGGAGGGGGGGTGGGGGTGGCGCGCGTGATTAGGGGGCCCCACGTCGTCGCGATTTTCAATGATTGAAAATCCAGGAACCGCAATAATCAAAATCTTGGGAACAACTGTGGTCAGAACCAAAGTTCACAGAACTGTGTTCTCTGAAAACCTCTCAAGTTGGACTACTTCATTCTGATTGCTTGCCGCCGAACCGCGTCATAGCCAATGAAGACGCGCCGCTGTTTCTCGCCGCTGGTTCTCATTAAAAAATGAATGACTTCTGGCTACTTTGACGCTCTCGCCGCTTTCGGTTTGTGATCGCTCCTCAGTTTGTGAAGGATTCTCCGCGTTGTCGCTCCACCCCGCCTCATTTCCCCGCTCCTCAATTTGTGACATAGAGATATACACTAGATATCGCATAGGGACACTGAGCATGCGTCTATAGCTCCGCCACATTGGTACAGTGCTCCCAGGACAAATGTCATTCAACCGCACTAGTCAAGACAGTGCTATTACGTGAAGATGCAGGACTTTAGCGCTGTCTACGAGTGTAGTAACGAGCAAACAAAGAAAACAAAGTACAAAGGCAGAACATTTCAAAGGTAAGATTAAGTTTTTTACGTTTTTGTATGTTCTGAAATTTGTGCAAAACAGTAGCGTTATTGATGATAACAGTCACTTACTGCATTCATCATAAGGCAAAGCAGCTCCAACTCGCACTAAATACTCGGCTTATGCTAGTTTTGTTGAATAAAATCAGCAAACAATGCAAAATAAACTTGACAACGAGATGCTGCGCTGCCAGAAACTTGTATTATTGTCGACTAGTGAACGAGTCATTCATAACAGAGATTCATTCACAAACGAATCGCTCCCTCCGTCAGTATGAGAAGTGAAGGCAGGAGAGGAGTTGTGTGCACGGATTAGATCAAGTTTAACAGGGAGAGTGGATAGTCCATTTCTGTACACACAAACACAAGCTTTTTGTCAGGAATGCCCGTGTGGTCACTGATCCATCAATGTAGAAAAGTGATGTAAAATTATAATTTTCATAATTAAAAAAAAAATTACATACTAACATCCAGGAAAACTCCCGATCATAGATATATGTGTATATCTCTGGCTCTGCCAACACCCCCCACTGCCCCCCCGCCCCCCCACCCCCCGCCTTCATCTGGGGGCCCTGTCGGTGATCCCTGCAGGGGGCCTCCGCATTTTGCGCTACGCCACTGCTTGTAAGTTAACAGGAGCACATGCGCTTTTTTTTTAAATCACCTGTGCGCGCGAGTGATCATGCTCTCGTTCTGTACTCTTCTTGTTCTATACCTTCTTTTTTGCTGTTTTGCTCGTGCGAACACAGTTATTTTTGTCAGTCGTGCTGCTTCTGGATTCTAAGATCACATTTGCACAAATATTGGGCCATGCTTATTGTCGAACCCTGCTTTTAAGAAAACTACAGTTTCAAAAAATGATTTCCAACCAGCCAAAGTGACTAGGTGTCTGTCTAACACGCCAGAGCTGCAATCTACCCGCATTTGGAGGGTTGGCGGGTGTTAATGTAAAGCCCTGTTCATTATCATGACAAGCTCCTCAGTTTCAACTAATCTCACCATCCTCTCTTTTCCACCATTATACATAGAGCCTTACATATTTAGTTGGAACTTGGTGTTAGTTCAGTGGAGCAACACAAAAATATGTTTTTACGTGACAACTAAGCCCCTGGCCTGCAGTGTTTCAGTGGCGGTCAGCAGTGAATGTGACCCAGCAGGTCAAGCAGAAACACCTGCTCATGTGCAGCAGCGTCTCCTTACAGTTAAATTAGCATCGGCAGCTTTTAATACCCACAGTCAAGCGGATGTGGAGGAATTGTGTTTCGTTTGAAGTAGACGCTAACAGTAATGAAAAGAAACACGATACAGTACATGCATGATGACTTCAAGTATAACTAGTGCATCAATGGTTTTGTAGTTTAGTTTTGAAGTAATATTAAAGAACAACCCATGCATCTTGATCTAAAAAAAAGCATTGTTATCTGATTTAATGATACTGAGTTAAAATAAAGTCTAATGGCAAAAATAATGTTCCTTTAGTGTGTGTATGTGGGGCAGGGGGTTATGTAAAGATGAATATATGAAGTATAAAGTAATTTTAAGTTTTACTTGGTATAATTGACTTAGTATAATATATACAACTAAGTTTAATTATAAAAAATGATTACAAATAGGTTAAACCTAGTGGAAACTTATGAGTATTTTAGGAACAAACATAATAATAATTATGATAATGTCACAATGATTATAGTTTTAAAAATGACTGACAAGACTTTTTGACATTAACTATTGTTATGTCTTCAGTAAGTTGTGGTCACTACATACTGATAATTATTTCATTTTGAACCGAATGAATGAATGAAACAGGACACATTCTAATTAATGAAGAAAATTAAAGCTTTACATATTTTAATGCTTGTTCATATACTCAATTAAATTTTCCAAAATATATACGATTTTCTTACCTCTTTAAATTTTCTTATCGCAGTTTGAATGAAAACACAGAAATGTAGCAGCAAACACTACCAGGATCATGTTTGCAGTTTCTTCTTTCACTTTCTATAATTTTAACTAAGTAAAATTAATTTAAATAAAATTAATTAAGGTAAAATAAAATTTAAACAAATAAAATTGGGAATAAAATAAAAATTAAATAAATGAATGTCAAATTTAAAAATAATTTCAAATAAAATGTAATTAATATTGAATTACCATAAAATTAAATACAATTTAATAAATTTAAATAATTGAGAATAAAATAAAAAGTAAATTAAGGTACATAAAATAAAATTTAATCAACTAAAAAAATTGAGAATAAAATAAATGTAAAATTATATTAATTAACGTAAATTAAATAATATTTAATCAATTAAAACCATTCGGAATAAAACATCTTTTTTATTAATTATCGTAAAATTGTATACAATTTAATCAATTAAAATTATTTGGAAAAAAATTTAATTAATAAACATAAAATAAAATTTTATCAAGTAAAATAATTGGGAATAAAATTAAAATAAATGAATCACTGTATCATTAAATAAAATTTAATTAATCAAAGTAATTTGATGTACAATTTTTATTAAATAAA